TGCCTACAACTCAAATTCCATGATTTTGAGCCGAATTTTGACTTTGGGGGTGTAGCCCCCCCCTTAATTATGTTTAGTGTGCCTGGTTGCGTCAGCGACGATAGTGAGCGCATACTACGGCCGATGGTACTGTAAGTGTTAAACTCTTACTACAACTAAACTGTGATTGTGGGGTTAATGGTTAGAAGGTGCCACTGGTTGGTCCTATTTCTTTTCTTTCACCACTGCAATTTCTGTTGGTTAATCTTGCCTGTTCCCAACATTAATGTGGGTGGTTAATGGGTGCTCTTGTGTGGTTTGCTCTTTCTTTCCTATCAGATATCTATCATCCTTATCTCGCCTTCATTTCTTTGTATGTTACTCTCTAGTAACATCTCCAATCTCAGCACTTACATGACTTATTTTGTGTTGCAAGTGCCATAAAACTCTTACTACAACAACCAAACTGTTATCTTATGTACAGCTATTTCTGCACATTGTCTGGTTGGTGGTTGGAGGAGGTCACTGATTGGTCGTACTTATTTTCTTTCCCACTGTTATTTCTGTTTGTTCATCTTGCTGTTTCCCAGAACTAAATAACAGTTATTGTGCCAATGTACTTCTCTAGCTTTACTCAACTCAAACATGCACAAACAAAAAAAACTGATCACTAACCGTGACACTCATCAACGAATTGTTTGTGACTTGCGTTTGTTCCAGGTACAGCTTGAAGACCACTCCTGATGCCATCGGCGCATTGCTGTGTGCTCTCTACCCGCACTTCCCTCTCACTAGTACAGACAACAGGTGTGTGTGTGTGTGTGTGTGTGTGTGTGTGTTTCGGGTGTGTGTGTGTGTGTGTGTGTGTGTGTGTGTGTGTGTGCGTGTGTGTGCATGTGCGTGTGCGTGCACACATATAGCTCTAAACCATACATGTAAGCTCTACTCAGTTATGTTTCTTTTGATAAAAGGATGGAAAGTTTATTATAATTTGTTTTACTGTACGTCAGTTTGGCAGGAAGATGTTTCCAAGTCTTTGAATATGATTGTTGATACAGTTCGAAGCCATGGCTTTACTTTCCATTGTTGACTTTATTTTTTAAAGTGGGGATTGATGGATGCTGTCATGTGGTATTTTTTTTTAGTTCAATCGCAAATGAAGAATACTGTACACACTGTGAAAAATACATCTTTGCTCATATGTCCACACTGAAGAAGTGATGCTCCCGTTGATTTAATGTGATGATCAAGATTTTTCCTTTCTTGATTCTGCCCCTCCCGCTCAGATATCACTTACAAGCCTTCCGTCACTTCTATGTCATGGCCTGTGAGCCGCGGCTGGTCATACCTCGTGACGTGGACACACACAAGTTTTGCTACGTGCCACTGCGCATCAAGTTCAAGGTGAGATTTTGTAGCTTTATTACTTTTGATTGGTTAGTTGTTTAGCTATTTCGTCACTATCTTTCGCCTGTGAACACTACGAACACAACACATCCCACTGAATTCCTATCTAAATAGGATCCGCAAGGATACCCCACTCGACTGCCCGTTGTGGGACTGCCAGGATAAAACAGTATCTCACCACCTCTTTACCTGCCCTGCACTTAGCAACCTGCGTAGTACCTACCTACCTGCCTCCTCAGACATCAGAAACACTCTATACAACGACAAAACACAACTGATAACAACCTGTAAATTCTTTGCCATATTGACAGGCCGAAGGGCTAGAACTCAAATGGCCGCTGGATCGGAAAAGTTGAGTAAAGTAAAGTAAGTTTAACTATTTCCCTTAGAACTCCTTTCAAATCTGATGGTGATTTTTTGAAATTCGCATCCTAGCTCGAACCTGAGACCATATTTGGTGGCTCATTTTCCTACTTTAATGTCTCTTTTATTCCGTTGAGATAGCAGGAGAGGCTTTGCTTTGAGAATTTATCAGAATAGGCTTTTTCCTTGTACAGCATTGCTTGTTGTGAAAGTCTTGCCAGAAAAGAGTTTTTTCCCTGCCTTTTTTGTATCGAGGTGATTTTTGGGTCATCTTCGCTAGTGGTTGGTAGGCACTGTGGTGTAATTTGCTTCTTTTATATCTAACATCAATCATCTTTACCTCTCGTCCTTTTCTTTGTATGTTACTCATTAATAACTCATGAAAGGAAAACAGCGGAAAAACAGAGCTTTGATCTACGACACTTACATGCAAGCACTGCGACAGAATCTGCGCTTCAAACATAGGAAGAATTAGCCATGAAAGAAGCTGCATGAAGGCAACCTTGAGACCATCTCAAGCTAGATTGAGCGTATGCATAGACGAAAAGAGCCATACACAATACTCATTAACAACACCTCCAATCTGCAACATTTTATTATGTATTTGCATGGCAACTGAAGTAAAAATTTCTGAAACTCCGATTGATTTTCAGTTGTTTTGCTCTACATAGCTTGCTCTTTTAAGTTGGTTTTGCACTGGCCGTGTCATTCTATTCTCCATGAGGTGGGTAGTTTGTCTCCAACTGTTCCTATTGGATGAGGATCTTTGCATCTCTCCAATCCTCCATGGGTTGGGAGTCCTAAAATAGCCTCCAAATCAGCTACTGGTGATGATTTCAGAGCTCTGTCTTAAGCTAATTAAGCTTCTTTTACTGTGTCCTGCAGGGTTGTGATGCGTACAAGTCTGTGAGCTTTGACACGGGCTCTCCCTACGTCATCCCTGAGCTGAGCAAGCTGGAGGAGGTGAGTGACCCTTGCTCGGGGAGTTTAGGCAGATGCTTGGTTTTTATCTTTGCATCATGATGTCTTGTTAGTGATAGTTGTAGTACTTTTCAAAAATGTAAAACTTCCTTTTATTCTGTGGTCATAAATGAATGAACATTGGCATGACATTTTATTTTAGGTGAAGTTCTCAATAGAAAAGGTATTAGGAAAATAATTTAAAAAACCCATTATATTTCAAATGTCCTAGATTATATTTGACAGCTCATGAAAATTTGTGATAGAGGCTTGAAATTTGTTTTGAGAAATATTGTAGCTTGTGATGTTGATTATTGTCTTAGTGGTGTGCCATGTAGGGTTTATGATGTCCCTGACTCATTTTCCTATATTCCAAACAGCCACTAATTGTGGGTACACTTTCGCTTTGGGCTTGGAGTCAAAGCTACTCCGTGTGATATTTAAAAGTCTTTAGAGTTTGGCATCTATTTCTGCTCGTGAAAAAAACTTGTAAAAGAAAAGTCATAAATTAATATTCTGTGTTTTGGTTTTCTTTCAATAAGGTTCAAGTTCTGGGCAACCGCTACTGGCCCATTACATTCAGAGAGGACAAGAACTGGGAGACACTCAGGTGAGTCATGGCAAAGATGCTGCCTTTTTCAAAGGCACTACAAAATCTTTAAGGACATAGCGGAGACTTGTGTCCGATCAGTTACAGACCAGGGGCAGTGTTGTGGCACACTCTGAACCATCACACAGAAATCAGACAAACGAATTTACACATTTTCTTTGTATACATTTAAGTTGATAGAGAAAACAGAATTGACCAATCGGTTTGATTAAGTTGGTTATGCTTCTATTTTATACATACCTTACTTTACTTTTTACTTTTTTTCCCGCTTGTGCCCTGAAACTCTGCGTCTTCAAGCTGTTTGAATAACACTCTGTGTCCCTCAGTATGTCATATGGCTGTGCTGTATCCAGTGTCAATTCAGCTGTGTATTGTTGGTCGCTGTTTACTACTCGAATAAGTAGTCACATGTTTTGAAAAATAAATCCAAACTTTCAAGTATGGCTCATTCGTCTTGCTTTATGACGGTCAAGGAACTCAGCTCACACCCCAAACTGATTCTGTGGTTTTTGTGTCTCAGACTTGTGCTACAGAAGGGAGGAGTTCTGGACGTGAAGCAAAGAGCTGGACACTTGCCGTACATGCAGGATCCTAAGGTGAGAGCGGGGGTGGTTGAAGGGTGATATTGGTAGGTCTTACTTCTTTTCTTTCCCTCTGTTGTTTCTGTTAGTCTGTTGTAGTTTTGCCCTCAATGAAATGACTATTATCATGTCCAAACTAGGCTGAGTGTGATGCAGTGTGTATGTGTGGGCAATGAAAAGGTGCTTGAAAGTTCCTCGGGAACTGATCATTTCTTCTTCTGACACGTGGTGATAAGAATTAAGATTGGGTAATTCTGTGTCAAATTCTGAATGTAACATTCCAAGTAGAAATGTTGATGATATGTGAAAGTAATGTGATTCTGTTTTTGATGAGTTATAAGCTTAAGTAGTTTAATTTTGTTCAGTCACAGTTTAAAAAAAAAGGAAACTTTTGTTGTTGTTTGCGGCGGTCATGGGGACTAATTTTCATTCTCTTTGACAGGGTTATCGAGGACTTCTGGCCAAGTCTCTGATGGCTGACCACTCGTGTCATTTCTCTTTCAAGGTAAGAACAGATGGAAAGTATGTGTGTTGTTGTGGGCCTAGGTTTTTAGCCAATCATATGCTTGTTGCTTGACATTGTATGTTGCAAAGTTTGCATCACAATGTTAAGAAACAGTTAACTCCAAAAGGTCTATATCTAGAGACATTTTCACATTTAAAGTGTTATTATAGAACTGCTTGTTCACAGATCTTTGGTGAAAATTCTGTCTTCTTTCCGGGAATATATCGATGGACATAGGTGAACTTTATGTCAAAGAATGTCTGGTCAGCCATTTTCTTAAGGAACTCATTTTGTATTTGGCAAACTTCCTCTTAAAAGCATCAACAGCCTTGTTTTGAATTGTTTTTGTGTCTGCTCAAAAATTTATTCCTCTGTATTATACAGTCAGTGATTTTTAACAAAAATATCAAAGCTGCTCATGCTGCATGCTCTATGCATCCTGAAGTACAGTTGAACCTGCTCTAATGGCCACCTGTCTAAGACCATAACCTGTACAAATGACCACTTCTTCCGTCCTTGCATTTTTTCTACATTATAATGGCACTTTCCAAAATCTCCGCCTGTCTAAGACAATCACTTTTCCTCTCGACAATAGGTGGCCGCCTTGGAAAATTTCAACTGTATTTTTTTTACTGCCATAAAATGTCTTTTAAAAAAATATGGCTTGTACTTGCCTTAAACTTGTCTCTGGTTTTTGTCTGTCAGCCGGAGGTGATCAAGTCGTTCACGTCAGACGCGAAAGTGACAGCTCTGGCAGAGTTCTTCATCAACTCCCATTCTATTGTGAGTATGAAGAAATAATTTAATTCATTCAAAAGTCAGCTGTAGTCATTTCTATTTTCATATTAAAGAGATGTATGATAATTTAATTCATTCAAAAGTCAGCTCTAGTCATTTCTATTTTCATATTAAAGAGATGTATATCTAGATTTTTAGTCAGAACCCAGATGTTTTATGTGTTGCTGTTGTATTCGTAAAGCACTCAGAGCCTGTGTTCTTAAACTAGTGCCATATAAATGTCATATATTATTACTAAATATTATCATGAGAGGTCAAAGAGTTACCTTTAGAGAAACCCTAGTTTCTGTTTTTTAAAAATTATTTCTGTTGTAAAATATTAGAATTCAATGAATATTAAACCTGAGGGGTGTGTATGTGGGATTTGGGGAATGTGCACTTTTTCCCCCTGAAGTTTTGTTCCTGTATGGCAATAACAATGTTCCTCTGTTTATATTTACTTGAAGCTGCAGGTGTCTTTCAAGATCTTTGTGGCATTTGTATCATAATTTATTACATTATTTGGTTTTTTTTTTTTTTTTTTTGGTTCTTTTTTATGGTTGTTGTTGTCCCAAATTTATACTGACAAAGAGTGTCATAAGTGACGTCATTTGCCATTTCAGGAAAACAGCAGCCTCCAGGAGCTGTCTGCAGCCATCTACCAGTGCGTCACCCAAGAGGCAGCAGAGGCAATTTGCCCACACTTCATCCTCAAACAGGTGAGGGGGCTCTCGTGGCCTAGAGGTTAAGATGTTGGCCTCTCATTCAAAGGTCCCGGGTTCGAATCCGGGTAGCGACCGAAAAATTTTCTTCTCTAAAATTGTCTCCTTTCACCTCCTTTCCTGCTCTCTAGCAATGTTCTGTTGTCTGCTTTCATTTCCACTTTCTGCCCCCACCCCCTCACCTCCCTTGCCCCCTCCTCTGGGCTCCTGTCTCTTTCTGCAGCCTTTCTACTGCTACTCCTTGATTCCTCCTTACTGCTGTCTTTCTGCCACACCCCTGATCTTTTGGTTGGAAAGATCTACATCAAGCCTTCTCGGACAAGGGCGAAAAATCTCGGAGGGCCCATGTGCAAGTTGCGCACGTTAAAGATCCCTTGGTTGTGTAAAATCGATAAGAGTAGGCTTCGGCCGCCTAAAGATCCCTTGGTTGTGTAAAATCGATAAGAGTAGGCTTCGGCCGCCACCTGGGCAAAATTCAAAATTTCCTACCAACTGAAAATATTAGGTGTGTCCCGCGCGCTCATATGACCTTATGCAGTTGCGAGCGCTGCAAAACATTTTACAAAAACAAAAAATAAAAAAAACAGGTGAGTGGGCACTGAAGGTATAGTAATAGTAATAATAATGAAGATCATTTCTGTTGTGCCCACTCCTGTGTAAACACAGCTCTAGGCGCTTTACATTAATGCATGTAGGAACAATATTCACGCACGCGACACACACACGCACACACACACACTCATACACACACTAACACAAACACATACACACACAAACACTCACACACACGCTCATGCACACATTACACGCACACATGTGCAAGCACATGCGCGCCAAACACAGACACACACACACTCACACACACACACACACACACACATCGACTTGCTTATCACACGTGCACGCTTACACATCGTTACGAAATGAGCACATATACATACATAATAGAATAATATACACAATGCAATTCGCAAAATACATAAATGGATACGTAGTCATTTACATAACGTATAGTGAGAGGTCAGTCCAGGGGGGACTTAATGCAATGTGCATGAGTCCATGTTGATGGGTTTTTGTTAAAAAAGAATGTTGTGTGCAGTGTGGACTCTGACTGCTGTACATTTTTTTACTTTAGCTCCAGTTTTGACAGGTGTAAACACACACACACACACACACACACACATACACACATGTTTTTGTTCGTACTTCCCTTATGAAGATGACCATGACTTCACAAATTGGTCTGTTGATGGTGACTGTGGGTCCGGAGGTGGCTGATTAGGCCTATCCAGGCTTGGAAGGTTCGTCCACATTGTGGGCACGGGTAGTCTGCTGTTGGACTTGTGGTGGAGGCAGGTCTAGACTTGCACGCTCACATACACACACTCACACTTTCACACGCACACACACACACACACACACACACACACACGCACACATGCATGCACGCACGCACGCACGCACGCACACACACACACACACACACACACACACTTTTTCTTTCAAAAGAAAGACATCAGAAAGTAAGAGAGTAGCAGTTGGTATCCAGATGACAAGATTTTCTCACCTAATAATAACCTGCATGGAAATATTTGTTGGTGGGAGGTGCGAAAATTTTAGCCTCTTTAAAGTGACAAAAGTGGGCGTTGGCTAATAAAAATCTGAGGAGCTCTGGCTGATGTATGTTCTCGTTTTGATGAAGTGAAGAAGTTTGTGTGCTCGGTCTTCAAACTAAACTGGACAATTTTGGGGGGGCTCTTGTGGTCTAAAGGAACAGTGTTTGCCTTTTGTTCAATAGGTCCTGGGTTTCAAACCTGATAGCAACGTAAAATTTTCTCCCCTAAAATTTTCTCCTTTCACCTCCTTTCCTGCTCTCTAACCATGTTCTGTCTTCTGCTTTCATCTCCACTTTCTGCCTCCTCCTCTTGGCTCCTGACTCTTTCTGCAGCCTTACTACAGGTACTTTTTAGCTCCTTTTTGCTGCTGTCTTTCATCCACACCCCTGATCTTAGGGTAGGTAAGATCTAGCACTTAGTCTTCTCAGATAAGGGCAAAAAAATCTTGGAGGTTTCGTGTGCAAGTTGAGCTCGTTAAAGATCCCTTGGTGCTAAAATCGATAAGAATGGCCAACACCCTGGCAAAATTTCAAATTAATTTCTACCAAACTGAAAATAGGTGTGTCGCGCATTCATATGACCTTATGGAGTTGTGAGCGCAGTAAAGAAACTTACACCCCCCCC